ACCCAAAGGAATTTAAATTGGCAAAAAAAAAAGCGGTCTGCACCCTATTGTTTATTGCATCACAATTCACAATAGCCAAGACCTGGAACCAACCTAAATGCCCATCAACGGGAAAATGGATAAAGAAATTATGGGATATGTACTCTTTAGAATACTATACCGCGGTAAGAAACAATGAAATCCAGTCATCTGCAACAAAATGGAGGAATCTGGAACACATCATGCTGAGTGAAATAAGCCAGTCCCAAAGGGACAAATACCATATGTTCTCCCTGATCGGTGACAACTGACTGAACACCAAAAAGGAAACCTGTTGAAGTGAAATGGACACTATGGGAAACGGTGACTTGATCAGCATAGCCCTGACTGTTAATGAACAACTTAATACATTATCCCTCTTAGTAGTTTTTTTGTCTGTTCTACTTAATACGACTGGTTTAATTCTGTAATTAATACACAGTTATTCTTGGGTGTTGAAAATTAACTGAAATGTGATCCCTGTTAAACATAAGAGTGGGAATAAGAGAGGGAAGAGATGTACAATTTGGGACATGCTCAAGCTGACTTGCCCCAAATGGTAGAGTTAGAAACATACCAGGGGACTCCAATTCAATCCCATCAAGGTGGCATGTACCAATGCCATCTCACTAGTCCAAGTGATCAATTTCAGTTCACAATTGATCATAATGAAAGGACTAAGAGTCAAAGGGAGCACATAAACAAGTCTAGTACCTGCTAATACTAACCGATAGAATAAATAAAGGGGAGAGTGATCCAACATGGGAAGCGAGATACTCAGCAGACTCATAGAATGGTGGATGTTCTAAACAGCACTCTGGCCTCAGAATCAGCCCTAAAGGCATTCGGATCTGGCTGAAAAGCCCATGAGAGTATTTCAGGCATGGAAAGCCAAGCCAAGACACTCTGGCAAAAAAAAAGACCTAAATGAAAGATCTCTGTGAGTGAGGTCCCAGTGGAAAGAACAGGTCTTCAAAGAAGGAGGTACCTTTCTCTGAAGGATGGAGAGAACCTCCACTTTGACTATGACCTTGTCTAAACAAGATAAGAGTCGGAGTACTCCGGCCAGCACTGCGGCCAATAGGCTAATCCTCCACCTTGCAGCGCTGGCACACCAGGTTCTAGTCCCGGTCAGGGCCCAGATTCTGTCCCGGTTGCCCCTCTTCCAGGCCAGCTCTCTGCTGTGGCCAGGGAGTGCAGTGAAGGATAGCCCAAGCCCTGGGCCCTGCACCCACATGGGAGACCAGGAGAAGCACCTGGCTCCTGCCTTCGGATCAGCATGGTGTGCCGGCCGCAGTGTGCTGGCCGCAGCGGCCATTGGAGGGTGAACCAACGGCAAAGGAAGACCTTACTCTCTGTCTCTCTCTCTCTCTCACTGTCCACTCTGCCTGTCCAAAAAAAAAAAAAAAAGCCGGAGAACTCAGAGGCTTTCCATAACCTTGGAAACTCATGACTGGAGCATAGGGAGATTACTGATGCCATAGACAGGAGTGTCAATTGGTTAAGTCAACAACAGGAGTCACTGTGCACTTACTCCTCATGTAGGATCTCTGTCCTTAATGTGCTGTGCATTGAGATTTAATGCTATAACGAGTACTCAAACAATATATTTCACTTTGTGTTTCTATGGGGGTGCAAACTGTTGAAATCTTTACTTAATGCATACTAAACTGATCTTCTGTAAAAAAAAAAAAAAAAGAAATTATCAACTCCCAACTTGACTCCCACTGGGATTAAACATGACAATAGGTCTGATCTGATTTCATCATCATTTAAAAAAAATCATCTATTATTTTTCACTTTATGTTTCTGTGTGGGAGCAAACTGTTGAAATTCTTACTTAATGTATACTAAGCTGATCTTCTGTATATTAAGATAATCGAAAATGAATCTTGATGTGAATGGAAGGGGAGAGGGAGTGGGAAAGGGGAGGGTTGTGGGTGGGAGGGACGGTATGGGGGGGAAGCCATTGTAATCCATAAGCTGTACTTTGGAAATTTATATTCATTAAATAAAAGTTAAAAAAAAAACACAAAAACTCCTCTTAGTCATGTTGCCTGTAGATTTCTAAGCATGAAATGCCAATTTGTTGTGTTTTTTATTTGGACATTTATATTTACTAAATAAAAGTTAACAAAAATTGTAAAAAAAAAAAAAAACAGCATGGTACTGGTACAGAAACAGATGGATAGACCAATGGAACAGAAGAGAAACACCAGAAATCAATCCAAACATCTACAGCCAACTCATATTTGATCAAAGATCCAAAACAAATCACTGGAATAAGGACAATCCATTCAATAAATGGTGCTGGGAAAATTGGATTTCCACATGCAGAATCATGAATCAAGACCCCTTTCACCTTACACAAAAATTCACTCAACATGGATTAAAGAATTAAATCTAAGACCTGACACCATCAAATTATTAGAGAGCATTGGAAAAACCCTGCAAGATATAGGTACTGGCAATGACTTCTTGGAAACTACCCCAGAAACACAGGCAGTCAAAGCCAAAATTAACATTTGGGATTGCATCAAATTGAGAAGTTTCTGTACTGCAAAAGAAACAGGAAAGTGAAGAGGCAACCAACAGAATGGGAAAATATATTTGCAAACTATGCAACTGATAAAGGGTTGATCATCAGAATCTACAAAGAAATCAAGAAACTCCACAACATCAAACCAAACAACCCACTTAAGAGATGGGCCAAGGACCTCAATAGACATTTTTCAAAGGAGGAAATCCAAATGGCCAACAGACACATGAAAAATGTTCAAGATCAGTAGCAATCAGGGAAATGCAAATCAAAACCAAAATGAGGTTTCACCTCACCCCGGTTAGAATGACTCACATTCAGAAATCTACCAACATTAGATGCTGGAGAAGATGTGGGGAAAAAGGGACACTAACCCACTGTTGGTAGGAATGCAAATTGGTTAAGCCACTATGGAAGTCAGTCTGGAGATTCCTCAGAAACCTCACTATAACCCTACCATTCGTCCCAGCCATCCCACTCCTTGGAATTTACCCAAAGGAAATGAAATTGGCAAACAAACAAGCTGTCTGCACATTAATGTTTATTGCAGCTCAATTCACAATAGCTAAGACCTGGAACCAACCTAAATGCCCATCAACGGGAAAATGGATAAAGAAATTATGGGACATGTACTGTTTCGAATACTATACAGCAGTCAAAAACAATGAAACCCGGTCATTTGAAACAACATGGAGGAATCTGGAACACATCACGCTGAGTGAACTAAGCCAGTCCCAAAGGGACAAATATCATATGTTATCCCTGATTGGTGACAACTAACTGAGCACCAAAGGGGAAACTTGTTGAAGTTAAATGGACACTATGAGAAACAGTGACTTGATCAGCCCTTGTCCTGATGGTCAATGTACAATGTAATACTTTATCCATTTTAGTATGTTTTTTGTTCTAGTACCATTGGTTGAACTCTGTAATTAACACACAATTATTCTTAGGTGTTTAAATTTTAACTGAAAAGAGATCCCTTTTAGGAATTTGGAAAACATTATGCTGAGTGAAATAAGCCAATCCCAAAGGGACAAATACCACTTGTTCTCCTTGATAGGTGACAACTAACTGAGCACCAAAAAGGAAACGTGTTAAAGTGAAATGAACACTATGAGAAACGGTGACTTGATCAGCCCTCACCCTGACTGTTGATGAGCAACTTAATATGTTATCCCTCTTAGTATTTTTTTTGCTTGTTCTACTTAATACTTTTGGTTGAATACTGTAATCAATACACAATTATTGTAAAGTGCTGAAACTTAACTGAAAAGTGATCGCTGTTAAATATAAGAGTGGGAATAAGAGAGGGAAGAGATGTGCGATTCAGGACATGCTCAAGCTGACTTACCTCAAATGGTAGAGTTAGAAACATACCAGGGGATTCCAATTCAATCCCATCAAGGTGGCATGTACCAATGCCATCTCACTAGTCCAAGTGATCAATTTCTGTTCACAATTGATCATAATGATAGGACTAAGAACCAAAGGAATCACATAAACAAGAATAGTGTCTGCAAATACTAGCTGATAGAATAAAAAAGGCAGAGAACAATCCAACATGGAAAGAGATACACAGCAGACCCATAGAATGGCAGATGCCGTAAACAGCACTCTTGCCTCAGAATCAGCCCTTAAGGCATGCAGATCTGGCTGAAAAGTCCATGAGAGTATTCCAGGCATGGAAAGCCAAGACACTCTGGGGAAAAAAAAAACTAAATGAAAGATCTCTGTGACATCCCAGTGGAAAGAATGGGTCATCAAAGAAGGAGGTACCTTTCTCTGAAGGGAGGAGAGAACTTCCACTTTGACTATGGCCTTGTCCAAATATGATCAGAGTCAGTGAACTCACGGGGCTCATGACAAGAGCCTAGGGTGATTACTGACACCATAAACAAGAGTGTCAATTTGTTAAGTCAACAATAGGAGTCACTGTGCACTCACTCCTCACGTAGGATCTTTGTCCTTAGTGTACTGTACATTGAGATTTAATGCTATAACAAGTACTCAAACAGTATTTTTCACTTTATGTTTCTGTGTGGCAGCAAACTGTTGAAATCTTTACTTAATGTATGCTAAACTGATCTTCTGTATATAAAGAGAATTGCAAATAAATCTTGATGTGAATGGATGGGGAGAAGGAGTGGAAAAGGGGAGGGTTGTGGGTGGGATGGACATTATGGGGAGGAAGCCATTGTAATCCATAAGCTATACTTTGGAAATTTATATTCATTAAAGTTAAAAATTAAAAAAATGAAAATGAAATGCAACCCTTTTGCTGAGGCGACAGATATTAAACCCTCCAAATCGAGTGTGACTGCCATTCTCAGTTTAATTCAATCAGAATTCCAAGCCAGTCAGCTAGGAGGGGTGGATGAATCTGGAAACAACCGGTTGACTTGTGACTAAATCAAGCGCAATATCACTAAGGACTCTTGGATTTCTTTTTTTTTTTTTTTCAAATTTTTCTTATTGATCATGGTTTGTAATGAATTTTCTCGTGTGAGCATTGTTTTTGATGCTGGTACTACTCCATAGTTCAGGGCACGGGAGGAGCGGTCTTTTTCAATCACGGCACACGTTTCTGCTTCCTCCAATTCTGGCTTTCTGTCCTTGTTTTGGGTGCCTCAGCCAAGTTTTGGTTTCTTGATCAGCAATTTCCTAAATTTTGTGTGGGTCTGAGTTTGTTTTGCCTTGTTCCTTCCCAAAGTTTGTATTCTGATGCAATACAAACTAGAGTTTAGACAGAGTATCCATTATGAAATAAGAAACACAACAAATTGGCATTTCATGCTTAAATCTACAGGTAACACGACCAAGATGAGTTTCTGTGTTTTGGAAAATGAAATGCAACCCTTTTCTTCAGGGGACAAATATTAATTCCCTCCAAATAGAGTGTGACTGCAATTCTCAGGTTAATTCAATCAGAATTCCACAGCCAGTCACCTGGGTGGGGTGGATGAATCTGGAAGCAGCCAGTTTACTTGTCACTAAATCAAGCCCAATATCACTAAGGACTCTTGGATTTCTTTGGTTCTTTTCACATTTTTCTTACTGATCATGGTTTGCAATGAATTTTCTGATGTGACTTTTGGTGTTGAGGCTGGAATATGGAGTTCAGGGAATTGGAGCAATGGTCTTTTTCAATCAGGGCACAGGTTTTGGCTTCCTCCAATTCTGGCTTTCTGTTCTTGTTTTGGGTGCCTCACCCGATTTTCAGTTTCTTGATTGGCAATTTCCTAAATTTTTTCTTGGTTTGAGTTTGTTTTGCCTTGTTCCTTCCCAGAGTTTGTATTCTGCAGCAATATAAACAAGACTTTAGACAGAGTATACATCATGAAATACAAAACACAACACATTGGCATTTCATGCTTAGAAATCTTCAGGCAACACCACCAAGATTAGTTTTTGTGTTTTGGAAAATGAAATGCAATCCTTTTGCTGAGGGGACAGATATTAATTCCCGCCAAATCAAGTGTGACCACAATTCTCAGGTTAATTCAATCAGAATTCCACAGCCAGTCAGCTGGGAGTGGTGGATGAATACAGAAACAGCCAGTTTACTTCTGACTAAATCAAGCTGCACCATTCAGAGGAAGAAAAGATCCCAGTGTCTGTCCTCCAAATTGCCCAAGGCTCATGCAGTGTGTAGCATCATGCAGCAGATGCCCACTTTTGTAGCTGCCAGTCATGCCAGTAAATGCAGGCAGCATTTCCAAATATTAAGGACAGTCCCTTCAAAGAACCCACCTAAATGTAAGACTGCAAGCAAAAAACATACCTTGCAAAGCTGTGTCGCCAAACAGGTGGAGATGTGAGTGAAACAGTGGCAGAAGTGGAAGAGAAAGTGGGTGCTCAGTTTATGACTTTTCTGTTCCTACCTCAGAGACAGTCATGTGTAGATATCAGCCATCCCATGTCCTCAGGACAAAAGCTGATGATAGGTTCTCAGGTGCCCAAAGCGGCTGTCATATCTCTTGTACCTCAGTGCATTGAGCAAAGTCCATAGCTGCCAATGGTGAGCCCAGATGGTACCAGGTTCCCCCATTGCCCTCATTGCTGGTTTTTACCCTTTAACAGCTAAAGTCTTTCCTTAGATTGACTCTTCCAGAATAAGAAGTCCCATCTGTAGCCATCCAGGATGTGTCAAGATCTACTTTAAAATTTCTCATGTGGGGCCACAGTTGTGCTTCTCTGCCACAGCCTGCATCATCTATAGGTGCCAGTTCAAGCCCTGGCTGCTCCACTTTGGATCCAGCTCCCTGCTAATGTACCTGGGAAAGCAGTGGAAGATAGCCCCAGTACTTGGGCTTCTGTACTCACTTTGGAGACCCAGATGAAGATCCTGGCTCCTGGTGTCAGCCTGGCCCAGCCCTGACCATTGTGGACATTTAGGGTATGTACCAGTGGATGGAAGATCTCTATCTCACACTTGCTTTCTGTAATTTTGACTTTCAAACAAATGAATTAATGAATCTTTAAAAAATTTTCATGCGATAGTCCCCAGGAGAACACACACAGGGAAAAACACTTTTAGCTGTAGGTGGAGAGGTTGTAAAAGGTGGTTTGCCTTCAGATGAACTGTCCAGATGACGGCAAACTCACACAGGTGAGAAGAAATTTGCCTGCTCCAGGAAGCCTCAGGAGTGAAGGCCCACCCTGGGTTGGACAAGTGCTTTGGTCACAGGCAGGTCACAGAATGGCAGGTTTCAATTGTAATTACATAAGAGAGATGAGAAAACTTGTGTTCTTTTGAATATTTTTTAACTTTTATTTAATGAATATAAATTTCCAAAGTACGATTTACGGATTACAATGGCTTCCCCCCCATACCGTCCCTCCCACCCACAACCCTCCCCTTTCCCACTCCCTCTCCCCTTCCATTCACATCAAGATTCATTTGAAATTATCTTAATATACAGAAGATCAGCTTAGTATACATTAAGTAAGGATTTCAACAGTTTGCTCCCACACAGAAACATAAAGTGAAAAATAATAGATGATTTTTTTAAATGATGATGAAATCAGATCAGACCTATTGTCATGTTTAATCCCAGTGGGAGTCAAGTTGGGAGTTGATAATTTCTTTTTTTTTACAGAGGATCAGTTTAGTATCCATTAAGTAAAGATTTCAACAGTTTGCACCCCCATAGAAACACAAAGTGAAATATATTGTTTGAGTACTCGTTATAGCATTAAATCTCAATGCACAGCACATTAAGGACAGAGATCCTACATGAGGAGTAAGTGCACAGTGACTCCTGTTGTTGACTTAACCAATTGACACTCCTGTCTATGGCATCAGTAATCTCCCTATGCTCCAGTCATGAGTTTCCAAGGCTATGGAAGCCCTCTGAGTTCTCCAATTCTTATCTTGTTTAGACAAGGTCATAGTCAAAGTGGAGGTTCTCTCCATCCTTCAGAGAAAGGTACCTCCTTCTTTGAAGACCTGTTCTTTCCACTGGGACCTCACTCACAGAGATCTTTTGCCAGAGTGTCTTGGCTTTCCATGCCTGAAATACTCTCATGGACATTTCAGCCAAATCCAAATGCCTTTAGGGCTGATTCTGAGGCCAGAGTGCTATTTAGGACATCTGCCATTCTATGAGTCTGCTGAGTATCTCATTTCCCATGTTGGATCACTCTCCCCTTTATTTATTCTATCGGTTAGTGTTAGCAGGTACTAGACTTGTTTATGTGCTCCCTTTGACTCTTAGTCCTTTCATTATGATCAATTGTGAACTGAAATTGATCACTTGGAATAGTGAGATGGCATTGGTACATGCCACCTTGATGGGATTGAATTGGAGTCCCCTGGTATGCTTCTAACTCTACCATTTGGGGCAAGTCAGCTTGAACATGTCCCAAATTGTACATCTCTTCCCTCTCTTATTCCCACTCTTATGTTTAACAGGGATCACATTTCAGTCAACTTTCAACACCCAAGAATAACTGTGTATTAATTACAGAATTAAACCAGTCATATTAAGTAGAACAGACAAAAAAACTACTAAGAGGGATAATGTATTAAGTTGTTCATTAACAGTCAGGGCTATGCTGATCAAGTCACCGTTTCCCATAGTGTCCATTTCACTTCAACAGGTTTCCTTTTTGGTGTTCAGTCAGTTGTCACCGATCAGGGAGAACATATGGTATTTGTCCCTTTGGGACTGGCTTATTTCACTCAGCATGATGTGTTCCAGATTCCTCCATTTTGTTGCAGATGACTGGATTTCGTTGTTTCTTACTGCGGTATAGTATTCTAAAGAGTACATATCCCATAATTTCTTTATCCAGTCTACCGTTGATGGGCATTTAGGTTGGTTCCAGGTCTTAGCTATTGTGAATTGAGCTGCAATAAACATTAGGCTGCAGACCGCTTTTTTGTTTGCCAATTTCATTTCCTTTGGGTAAATTCCAAGGAGTGGGATGGCTGGGACGAATGGTAGGGTTATAGTGAGGTTTCTGAGGAATCTCCAGACTGACTTCCATAGTTGCTTGACCAGTTTGCATTCCCACCAACAGTGGGTTAGTGTCCCTATTTCCCCACATCCTCGCCAGCATCTGTTGTTGATAGATTTCTGCATGTGAGCCATTCTAACCGGGGTGAGGTGAAACCTCATTGTGGTTTTGATTTGCATTTCCCTGATTGCTAGTGACCTTGAACATTTTTTCATGTGCCTGTTGGCCATTTGGATTTCCTCTTTTGAAAAACGTCTATTGAGGTCTTTGGCCCATCTCTTAAGTGGGTTTCTGATAGGTTTCCCTGTTTGCTGGCATACAAGTCCTTGTAGTAACTTCTGATGATTCTTTTTATTTCTGTGGTGTCTGTTGTTACATTTCCTTTTTCATCTCTGATTTTATTGATTTGGGTCTTTTCTCTTCTTATTTTAGTTAGTTGGGCCAATGGGGTGTCAATTTTGTTTATTTTTTCAGAAAACCAGCTTCTCTTTTGGCTGATTTTTTGCAATGTTTTTCTTGATTCAATCCTGTTGATTTCTTCACTGATTTTAATTATTTCTCTTCTCCTACTAGATTTGGGTCTGGTTTGCTGTAGATTTTCTAGATCCTTGAGGTGAATTGAAAGCTCATCTATTTGGTGCCTTTCCAATTTCTTGATGTAGGCACCTATTGATATAAACTTTCCTCTTAACACTGCTTTTGCTGCGTCCCATAAGTTTTGGTATGTTGTGCTGTTATCCTCATTTACTTCCAGAAAGTTTTTGATTTCTCTTTTGATTTCTTCTATGACCCATTGTTCATTCAGGAGCATGTTGTTCAATCTCCATGTGTTTGCACATGCTCTAGGGATTCCTGAGTTGCTAATTTCCAACTTCATTCCTTTATGGTCTGAGAAGCTGCATGGTATGATTCTAATTCTTTTGAAATTGCTGAGACTTGCTTTATGGCCTAGTTTGTGGTCAATCCTAGAGAAGGTTCCATGTACTGCTGGGAAGAATGTAAAATCTTTAGCTGTAGGATTGAAAGTTCTGTATATATCTGTTAGATCCATTTGGGCTATAGAGTCATTTAAATCTACTGTATCCTTGTTGATCTTCTGTCCTATTGATCTATCTATTTCTGAGAGTGGAGTATTGAAGTCCCCCAGTACTATTGTATTGGGTTCTAAGTCTCCCTTTAAGTCCCTTAACAAATCTTTTAGATAAACCGGTGCCCTGTAGTTAGGTGCATATACATTGATAATTGTTATATCTTCCTGTTGAATTGATCCCTTAATCATTATGTAGTGTCCTTCTTTGTCTCTCTTAATGGTTTTTGTGGTAAAGTTTATGTTGTCTGATATTAAGATGGCTACGCCCGCTCATTTTTCATTTCTATTGGCATGGTATATCTTTTTCCAGCCTTTCACTTTCAGTCTGTATGGATCTTTGTTGGAAAGCTGTGTTTCTTGTAAGCAGCAAATAGATGGGTATTGCTCCTTAACCCAATCAGCCAATCGGTGTCTTTTAACTGGACAGTTCAGGCCATTCACATTCAATGTGACTAATGATAAGTGGTAACTTTGCCCTGCCATTTGCCAAAGATAAGTTCTAATATATGGTTTGAATTCCCTGTGATCTTTTGCTGTGAGGTTTCCTTCCTTGGTTTCCTTCCTTTACCTTCTTTCATATTGATGACCGTGTTTCTTTGTTTCTGTGTGTAACACATCTTTAAGCATCTTTTGCAGGGCTGGACGAGTGGCAACAAATTCTTTCAATTTCTGTTTGCTATGAAAAGTCTTTATTTCACCTTCATTCACAAATGAGAGCTTTGCAGGATATAATATTCTGGGCTG